CTGTTTTTTTCAGACGCTTGCAGAAAAAGGCTTACCAAAACAAAGTTACTGGGTTCATCTTTTTCACGTTTCCTTCGTTGGTAGATGCACCGGGGACCTGATTATAGCACTTAAAACCTGGAAAAGTCAGATTTTCATGATATGTCACCTTTAAAGTCATATGAAGACTAAAAATGCTAAAAATCTTGGTGTTCTTTTTGATTGCAACCTGGGTTTTGAGAAACAAATTAGTGCATTGGTCAAATCAAGTTTCTTCCACTTACGGCGTTTATCAAAAATGAAATCTTTACTCTCTGTAAAACAGTTTGAACAGATTATTCACTTGTTTGTTCTATCTCGTTTAGATTGGATTTATTGATTTTATTTATTTCTAGTAGATATCAAGGATTTAATTTTTCATAATACAAATACAGTAGATATCAATGGTTTTATTTTTATTTATAGTAGATATCAAGGATTATATTTATTTATAGTAGATATCAAGGATTTTATTTTTCATAATACAAATACAGTAGATATCAATGGTTTTATTTTTATTTATAGTAGATATCAAGGATTATATTTATTTATAGTAGATATCAAGGATTTTATTTTTCATAATACAAATACAGTAGATATCAATGGTTTTATTTTTATTTATAGTAGATATCAAGGATTTTATTTTTCATAATACAAATACAGTAGATATCAATGGTTTTATTTTTATTTATAGTAGATATCAAGGATTTTATTTTTCATAATACAAATACAGTAGATATCAATGGTTTTATTTTTATTTATAGTAGATATCAAGGATTGTATTTATTTATCTTACTGTCATAATACAAATAGTAGATATGAAGGATTTTTATTTACTTATCAATACAAATATAGATTTTATTGATCATAATACAAATGGTAGATATGGATTATATTTATTTATTTATCATAATACAAATACAGTAGATGTGAAGGATTTTTATTTATCATCATAATACAAATATATATTTTTAGGGCTGTCAGTTTAACGAGTTAACTTAATTAGTTATGAAAAAATAACGTGATTAAAATATTTTAACGCACTGGCCCCGCCCCAGACCTGTACGTCATCTTACATTTCATACAGTTGACTGTTGACAAATATAATGCAGGGTAACCACTCCATTAATGCACTTATGCCCTAAAATTCAAAATATTGGGGCAACAAAAAATGCCCCTGTATGAGTTTTTGTCTCATATTTATATCATATGATAAGTAATATATCACAGGAGCAGCTAGAGCTATCACAGGAGTACTGTTTTTGTCACGAAGAACATGAGTGCACATGTGATTTTATGCAACAGTTCAGTAAATAAGAATGTAATATTGTGCTATATTTTAAACACAATATTGTGTGTGTTTGTTCAATTTTGCCAACGAAAATATTACCTAAAAAAAAAAAAAACACAGCAGAACTGTTGTGTGTTTAGTTTCTGAATGAATCCGCGTTTTGAACGAATTGAGTGAATCAATGATTCAGTAGCCCGTTCATAGAGAGAGCCGTTTACTGAATTCCTGAATGAATCAGCCGTTTGACTTCAATATAAAATTAGTATATTTAGCTATCACTAATACAGTATTTACTGAATGGTGTCTTAATAAATAAAATGTAATACATTTCTCCGATTTGGTTTGTTCTGAGTTGAAGTCTGACATGTGCTCTCTGTTCTCTGTTCAGCCCGGTAAAGACAGCATCTGGCTGCCCATCCTGGTCATCGCACGCTTGGTGTTCGTTCCTCTCTTCATGCTCTGTAACGTTCAGCCCAGACACTACCTGCCCATGGTGTTCTCTCACGACGCCTGGTACATCGTTTTCATGATCCTCTTCTCCTTCAGCAACGGATACCTGGCCAGCCTCTGCATGTGCTTCGGACCAAAGTACGTACAGAATATCATCAACATGCGTGCGGAAAATAGACCTAATATCAGTCTCAGACAGAGCGATATTAGTTGAATCTGTTCTGTAAACACTGGCATGATGATGTTCATCTAACAGTCGAGTCAAAGCTCTTCAGGTCCTCTAATGTTTTGTGTTCGTCCCACAGGAAAGTGTCCCAACACGAAGCAGAGACCGCAGGGGCCATCATGGCCTTCTTCCTCTCTCTTGGCTTGGCTGTGGGAGCCGCGTTATCCTTCGCTTTCCGGGCCATGATCTAGAACCGTGGCCTAGTTCTCCGTATGATGAAGAAGAGGAACTTTAACCCCAGATATACACAGAGCCAGAGAGAATGTTTTCATACTGCACATGTATCCGCTTGCCTGTTTGTCCCTCTTGTGTGTTTTCTTGAAGAAGTGGAACTGGAATAGACAGTATTCACACAGGGATTCAAAGAGGGACCATCTTCATCAACATCATGATGTTATGAGCATCATCATCATCATCATCATCATCAGGTAAAAAAACGAGCCAAATCTATCTGCATTTTTTTTGTATACTTTTTGTAAAATGTGCCAATTCAGTATTTAGCAATAATGTATAGTTCAAGTTAACCCCTTTCTGTTTTAGTTACTTTTAATGTTTTTGTAGATATTAACAGTTTTAATGGTCCTGTTTTAGTTTCGTTTAGTAATGGCAGAGACATGCAGCTATTAGGGCAGTAGTTCACTGCAAAAAATTATTTTCCTTTGCAAATGTCTAAAAATTCAAAATGACTTTTTGATATGACATAAAATCTTGTTTTCTGAAAAATACATAAAAATTAAGTGAGTTTATGCTTAAAACGAGAAAAAAATCAATCATTTGGTTTTCCCTTTTGAATTAAGCTTATTTTTCTTGCATTATTGACAGACATTTTTACTTGTTTTAAGCATAAACTCAACAAATTTTAACATCTTAAGTCATCTTTAAGTAAATGTCTCTTCATTTAAGAATGTTTTGATATTTGTACTGAAAACAAAACAAGGAACTAATTTTGCAGTGGTTCTAGATAAATCCTACTGTATCACACCATTAAAGGGCCCCAATTTGAGTTTATAGTGGCATTTTGAATCATAAGATCCATTCAGATGTCTGCTGTTTATTTTGTCAGCTGCATGTATTTGATTTGAACTTGCTTTCAAATATTGGCCTTAATACATTTTGTCAGCAATGGCTGAAGTTTCTCATTTTAAATGAAGACCTAAAAGTGTTACATTTGACCTTATTATGTTTTTTTTTCTAACAGCTTTTTTAGTAATTTGTTTAATGCAGCATGTTTGATGACACATTCTAACATCATGTAAATGCACAACTTGCTTTGGTGTCTTTTGAATGAGGTTTTTTCCAAAAAATTGGCAACATTGAAATGTGTGGTCGGGTGGGACTGTGGATGGAAATAAACACATTTCTGTTTGTAACTGCGTGATCGTGTCTGTTCAGTACGTGAGCTGCACCAGAGACAGCTCGTCTGTCAGTGTCTTGTAATGGAGCGTTTCAGTAAAAATGGTTTGTAATTACAGGAAGTTTGCTTGATTAGTGCCGTCATTCCTGTGGCAAACCCAAGAAATTTTCATTAATGCTTGACGCAACTTTTAAATGTTACATCCACCAATTGTTACCTATTTACAAAGGCTGATTTTCATGATAAAAATACCATACTTCCTATGGTTATAGTTAACTGGGGTCATTGCCATGAAACAAGGGCATTAAAATGACGAAAACTGTTAGTTAACACTGATTAATATTTTATAAACTCTGCTTGCATAATATTATGCAAAGATGAATCTGCTTTATTCATACATTTCTGTTTTAGTCACATGAGAAAACTGTTTAATGTCAATTTTATAAATGAAAAGAGTGTTTAAATGAAAAAATATCAAAGCAAATGTCATGCAAACAAATGCTCCAGGATCTTTTCACTACCTCAATGGCTCAATGATATTTGATTTTAAGTTTTATTGGTTATATTTGAAGTTATTTCTCCTCAAGTTCACACAGGTGACCTAGTAGAGGAACCACGTGCAGATCATTAACTCTAACTATGAACGATTCACAATACTTCTATATTTTTGTCTTCAATTTCAGCACTATATATATTGTTTTAATATTTCCAATTAACCAAACAAACATATTTTTAAAGTGTTTTGCTTTGCTTTGAAAAGTGTGCTAGTGCTAAATGTCGTGGCAAAAATACCGTCGCCTGATCGCTAGATGGCACTGTTTCGAATTTGAATTATTTCCATGAGCTTAGAAGAATTTAAGCTGTTCCTGTGACGTTGCTGCGCAGCTATGGCAACCAGAGAAGCGTTCGAGGTTTTGAAGAGCAAATAAGAAGAGAGGCGCTTTTGAAGAGAGGCGCGAATACGTATTACAAAACGTTTCTACATATAAAAATCGAAAATTCAGAATTAAATTGTATTAGCTTACGTTTTATGTCCTTAACTGTTTTATAACAGCAACTAGATATGACGGATTTGTAAACCAGCTGTATTCTCGATCAAATGCATGAAGTAGGTTGACCAGTTATTAATGGAGCATATTAGATCAATTTCACCTCTCCTGCATTTGGATTAAAGGTCCCCTGAAATGCTTAGAAACACGCAGCATTACTGTGTTGACGTCATTTTAACTGAAACAGGAAGACAGGGCGGGACATATCAAGCAGCCACGCCCCTTTTTATTAGCCAATAGCATTTGTTTATATCACAGCTTGGGCTAGAGCCGTTGAGCTCCGTAAAGCCGCATTTGACAGGGTATGCCAGCCACAATCTCATCCATATTGCTATAAAATATAGCATTCTGTGTAGAATTAAAATAGCTCCGATACATTTTGTGGTCTGCGCCGACTCGCGCATGTGATCCGCTCCGTGCTATCGTGTATCTGGACTGGAGCAGAGTGTGTGTGCGGTGCGGTGCTTAGCGTGACACAGCGCGAAACCAGACTTCTTTAGCCCCAATGTAAAGCATATTTACACTGTTTGAATCGTTCCCTGTCCCCTATATAGTGCACTACGTGCCATTCACTGTACAGAAAATACTAATTCAAGTGACCGATTTCAGCCGCGGCTTCAGCGTCTATTTTATATTGTAGGGGCGGGGCGCTTTGGATTCTAGAGAGCACTGCGCCGACTCGCGCATGTGATCCGCTCCGTGCTATCGTGTCTCTGGACCGGAGCAGAGTGTGTGTGCGGTGCGGTGGTTAGCGTGACACAGCGTGAAACCAGACTTCTTTTTTTCCTCAATGGAAAGCATATTTACACTGTTTGACTCGTTCCCTGTCCCCTATATAGTGCACTACGTGCCATTCACTGTACAGAAAATACTAATTCTGTGGACAAGTGACCGATTTCAGCCGCGGCTTCAGCGTCTATTTTATAGTGTAGGGGGCGGGCGATTCGGATTCTAGAGCGCATTTGATTGGACAGAAAGTTTGATGAGAAGCTGAAGTACGATGTGACGTCAAAAAAAAAAAAATCGTTGAGTCGTTTTGGCGGAAGTGACGAACTGCAAGCTTTGAATGCTTATATCTTCTAAATGCGAATTTTCTCACTGTTTTGGAGCACACTGCCTTATAGATAACCTTAAGACTAACATATTGATACTAACACCCAAAAAAACTTTCATTTTGATTTAATGGGGACTTTAAACAATTTCAACTCTCCTGAAACTGAAGACAGCAGATATGTTCTGACAAGCCCACGTTCACTTGAAGCCTGTGCAAGATTGGGAGTGAAACCTGTTGATTTGCTGTTCAGATCCCTCACAGACTTTATTGATGAAAACCAGAAGTCTTCTCTGGAGGAGGTGACTGCATTATATGAGGAGTACGAGAAAGGAAGAAGAGAACGACTGCGCTTGTGTCGAGAGGACAGAGAGCAGATCATACAAGAGGGCTGGAATGAAAGTCATCTGTAAAACCATTCACAGCCCTGGAAACCGTCCTTGGAGCAAACAGCTGAGAGTCAAAGCACCGATTCCAAAGCCCAATGTCCAAGTGAGACACGGTTCACAAATGATCGTTCAAAGTCTGCGATTTCGATCTCAGATGGCTTCCCGTCCGCATGCGGTCAGAAGTTTCCCTACAGTTTCAGTCTGGCCGACCTCAGACGTTCTCCTGCGATGGAGCGTCGGCTGAAGAAGAGCCTTTCGCAGGAGATCAGTCGCAAACTAAGCATCGCCGTCCCAGAAAAAGATCGCAAGATTGCTGCATTGATGCTGGCCAAGCACGAAGAGGAGCAGTTTAGTTTACGCCAGAGCATGTTTGAGGAGCACAGAAGAAAGGATCGCGAGGAGGAGCGGCGAGCTCACATGGAGCGAAAGCGGCGCAAAGAACTTCTGCAACATATTCGCCGCTGGCAGGAGGACTTGGGAGGAGCGGAGGAGGTTGCGAGAGGAAGAGGAGACGATGCTTGCGGAGCAGCGCGAGCGGGAGGCGCTTCGGCAGGAGGAGCGCTGGAGGAGGCTCGCCGAGGAGCAACAAGCTCGACGCAGGTTCAAGCTTGATGTGGCGAGCAGGGATGCAAAAGAGCACAAACGCTACCAGGAGAGGCTCCTGCGGGAGAAGGAGTGCATTGAGGAGGCACAGCGAGAGAAGGAGCTGCAGGAGGCGCAGGAAAAAGAACACCACGCAATGAGGAGCAAGCGAATGCAGGAGAAGAGAGAAAGGAGGAGACTCAAGCAAGAGAACCAGAGGGAGCTACTCAAACACCTCCTCCTGAAAAAGGAGGTCGAGGAGCAGGAGCGTGCAGAGAAGGAGCTCAAGCGGAAAGGACTGGAGTAGAAGCTGCAACGCTCCAAGGAGAACCACGCACTGCTTCTAGAGGCGCGGGTGCAGGAAATGCGATCGCGTGCAGCGAAGGAGGAGGAGCAGATGCGGATGGCGCAGCAGCGGGCGAGGAGGGAGAACAGGGATCGGATGGAGCAGAAGCAAATGTGGGTGCAACGTTGCCAGCTGCAGACAGAGCGTGCAGTGATGCAGGCGCAGGAGCAACGGCGGCGAAGAGCTCAAGGCGTCAGACGAGAAAACCAGGAGAAGCTCAGCCATCACAGACTACGAGAAAGAGTCCTGGAGGAGGAGAAAGCTCAGTGGGAGGAGAGATGCAAGGCCGTGACGCAGAAGGAACAGTGCAGAGAGAAGCTGCAAAAAGAGAGGGCCGAGGCCCAGGAGCGGAGCCGGAAGGTGGCTCACGCCTCCTGCTACATGCGGGAGAGGGTGAGGGAGCAGACGTCCCGTCGCACCTTTGACCGGATGGCACGAGAAGCCGAGCTAAACTGGGCCACCTGGAACTATGAATAGTGTAGAACTAAATTAGTCTGAGGAAAAGTTAATTAGAAAATTATAATAGGCTAATTATGATAGTATTAATGGAGCCAAACAAAAGACAGAGGAGTATAAAACAACTTCATAGTCACGTTCAAATGTAAATGCAGCTTAGGCAACAGTGAACCAGTTCATTCAAATGAGGTGTTTACAGTGCTGGTAAAATGTATTTATCAGGCAATTAATAAGCTTTTAGACTGCACATGTATTTTCTATTGACATTTATTTGAACAAATAATGTGATTATTTAATGTGAAGGTTTTATTAAGCAATACATTTTTAGGCGTTTTACAGTATTTCTCACTTTTATATCATTTTTTATATGGATTTTGTTTTGCAAATTTGTGACCGATTTGTTCAGTTCAGTATTTATTTATCCCCGTAGGGAAATTATGTTTGCAGCATACACTCACACAGACATTTGCCAATTCACATTAGTGGTATATAAATAAATGTAAACAATAATTTAATACTAATAAACCTAATTAAAACAACCAGTCTAACTGAAATGTACATAGCAAGCATCCTACTGTCTAATGAAAATTATTTTGCCAGGGTAGCAGCTAATATACTGGGAGAAACAGTTAAAAGCTGATAGAATTTTTGCGAGTTTTTGGGTTTCTCTAAAAGTGAATACAGTTAAAATTGGGTCCTCAACCCCTCTGGAGGATTGATATGCAAATTGCAGAGGATCTATAAGATGCTGTGTTTCAGATACAAAGTACTTTTTCACTAAGTGTTCAAAGCACTTAAGTGCTACTGGATGAAAAAAGGGCCTAGAAACTTACGCCACTGGAATTATTGTAGATGGTTTCCATAAAACAGGATATTATTTATATGTATAAAAGCTAAATATAAATATAAATAAATAATAAAATATCAGCAGCAGATACATTAAGAAACATCTTAAGGTCAAGTGATTTTTATGTCAACAAGTGATCTGCAAAACACAAAAATGCACACAAAACAGCAGCTTTTATGGCTTTGAATAGATTGTCACGTACCAGAGAGATTGTCGTGCCATCTCAATGTGCATGTATTTCAGATTGCACTGCATTGTAGTTTTCAAAATAAACATTGGTTTATATTAATACAAGGCATTCTTGGTTTAATACAAAAGTTAAAACAAATAACATTTTCATTTTTTTTTTGGAAAAAGAGCACTGTATTGCACTTAAGCTTTGCAACTTTATGGCAGTGAGAATTACTTAATTTCTAGGGCAAAATAAAATTGGAGTCTATTCTACATATAAGAATATAAAATATCACAATCTTTTATGTCCTTGACAATGCACAGATGCAAAATTCCAACTGCACATAAACACCACAGGCTTTTATTTTGTTTCTCAGCTAATAAAACAATTAATCAAAACTGTCTAATAGTTAAACAGAAAATGTGGGGAGTTTCATAACCCTAATCATGATAAAACTCTCAAAGAGCATTCTCAAGTCTTAATAAAAAAAAAATATATAAACATTTTCAAATGAAATATTACACATCACCGGTCCTGTTATGCTGGGAGACTGTTCTTACAGATTAATCATCTGGTAGGCCGAGGGCCAACAGCACAGGAAGTCCAGCCCCCAGGATGAGAGTCAGGCTCTCTGTGATGCCCAGACCGCCCTGCTGCTGGTAGGCTCCGCCTCCGGTTCCTGTCTCGTGGTGGAGGTGAGTGGAGCGCTGATGCCCTCTGCTGTTGATTTCTGGCAGAACATGAACTGTGGCCACATATAAGAAAGTCCCAGCTGAGAACAGCATGCCAATGCCTGTAATGCTCAGGCGGTTCTGAGAAGAGCCATTAGACTGCAAAGATATTTATTTCTTATTTTAGATCATTCCAAAAAACAGAAGAATTAAATGGAAAATGTTAAAACAGTTATATTTTTAATTGCTCTTCTGAAGTAAATGTTTGGATGTATTATGCAGAGGTACTGTAATGTTCAGAAAAAAATCTCTCTCCACAGTCCAAAAATAACATCCAACTTATCCATCCAATAATGTTCCATGGTAAACATGCCAGTTGCATAAACTGCTTAGACTAGTCTTACAAGTTAGTCATCAAAATGTTATGATACTGCAAAGAAAAGAAACACTGGCTTAACAAAATAGGTATGTTTATGCAACTGACCCCTGATCTCAAAAGGGTCTGATGCCATTGTGCCATCAAAAAAAAAAAAAGTTGCATTAAAATAAATCTGAAGAACTAAAAAAAAAAACTTTTAAGTTGAAAAAATCTTGCCTTGGCAACTAACGGGGAAAAAAGGTAGGTTGAACTACTAAAATAACTAAACTGAAAAAAAAAAAAAAAAAACCAAAAAAAAAACTTATTTAAATACAAACTTATATTTAAAAAAACAAAAAAAAAACAAATAAATGGACACAAGGACATAAAATATAATTTAAAAAAAAATTTAAACTGACAATATAAAAATAAAAGCAAATTCAAAATAAGAATGAAATCTACTAAAAACATACTAAAACGACAAATGTCAAATAAGAGAAACTGAGGCTTCTTACTGCACTCAGGATGAAATAAGTGCTGATGGCCATCAGCGGCGCAGCAGCAGAAAATGCCAGTAAATGCTTCTGAATAGTCTTCCTCTCCAGACCTGCGTGCATGAGGAAAGACACAAGACCAAACGCCGCTGGAGCCTAGAGAGAGAGAGAGAGGACAAAAGTGAATGTGTTGAATAAAGGAAAGCAATTGGTCACTAACTGTAATTGCACTACAGTTTGCAACAAAGGCATGCAAAGGTTTGAGAACCACTGAGTTAATGCATTCCATGAGAGTCAAAACCATGCTTTACTGTATGAGCTACTTAATACAGAATGACTCGGCAGTGACAGTACAGATAAATAAGAAAAAAATTAGCAATCTCACCTTATGCAAAATGACAGCAAAGAACACGACAACCTGCACAGACACCTGCGATGAGGCCGCAGCTGCACCCAGAGCGACACCATCAGCTGCAAAGAGACAGACAATGGGAATATCATGCAGATAAGTTCCTCACAGACACCAAACTGAACCAGGCCATTTCTATCATTAAAACTGTCATTGTTTAATTTGCATGTAGAACAGAACAAAATCTTAAGTCTTGAGTATTTAATAATTAGATTGGCCAAACATCCTTCTTTTTCTAAATGGCCTAAAATGTCCAGGTTTGGTTTTTGTTTGCCTACTTATGGTCTCTCTAGAGTCCTCATATTTTGCATTGCTTAGACCATTCTCTGTGGATGCCACCTTCTGGCACACCACGATTGGTCGATTATGGAGAATGCCTGCATGCTGTTGGTCAAACTACTTTTCAGTCATTACCTTTAAGTATTGAAACAGTAGGAAAACAAAACCGAACATTTCAGGCAATTTGGATATCCCAGCCAGGATATGTCTGGGAAAAAGAGGATGTATTTTCCCCCAAATAATAACAGAATTTTAATTTTGAAGTAAACTACTCTTTTAACATAGTTTTTAATGTTTTTTGTTGGCACTCCTGGTAATCCAATATTTGAAAACAGAAATGTAACACTAGCCATGAAAACCAAATGAGGTTAGTCTGTTTTTAGTGTCCCTTTTTTTTTGTATTATAGGACAGATGCTGTGATAAAAACACAATGGAGGCTTATTAAGAAGAATTGAAAACCCAATGTTCATCGACTTGAATAGGACAAGCACAACTGGCATGATTCACTGTAATGTAATCTGTTTTGAATGGCGATATAGTGGAAGTGAAGCTTTTGTTACCTGCGGCGTGAATAAGCAGACCCAGGGTGGCAGTAACACTGTTGCCACTGTACATGTGTGCTCGGGGTTCTGGGAAACAGGACAAACACAAACAGAAACGTTCTCAAGAGAGCATCTGACAGCATTTCACACCGGCTGTTTTTCCACAGACTTCAACATATCTGTCTGCAGCCGAGTGGAATAAATTCAATTCAAAATGCATGCTTTACAATTTCAATAATACACTAAGAATGAGATTTATCACATTAGAGTAAAATACTGTAACACCGTGTCTACACCGGACAGACACGGTGTGAATTTAAACACAAGACATAATCTTGTAAAAGTAAAAGCAGACCACATTTTCTTTAGGAAAAATTTAATTTCTTATAATTCTGTTTTGATTTTGGCATGAAATGTGACCCAGATATTTCTTTAAAGTTTTCATGAGTCACACCAAAAGTTAGGACATTTTTAAAAAGACGTTGGATGAAAAATGCAAAATAATGTTTTATTTCTGACATGACAACTGGATGCAACTTGAAGTAAACAACATAGCATACTACAGATTTTGTATTTTTTTTTATAGCTACTGTTTCGAAAGCTATTAAAATATGGCAGCTGCTATATGCACTAAGTGTAAATAGCAATAGATGCTATTTACACTAAGTGCAAGGAGCTATAGATTCTATTTGCACTATGTTAAAATAGCAGGCAATTATCTGCACCTCAGTATCATAGAACATTATAAAACAATATGCAATAATAACGTATTGAATGTAAATTATAATGCTAATTCAAATTATTAAAGGGGTCATATGATGCTGCTAAAAAGAACATTATTTTGTGTATTTGGTGTAATGAAATGTGTTTATGCGGTTTAAGGTTCAAAAAACACATTATTTTCCACATACTGTACATTATTGTTGCTCCTCTATGCCCCGCCTTTTTGAAACGCGTCGATTTTTACAAAACTAATCGGTCTGAAAAGCGAGGTGTGCTCTGATTAACCAACTATCCAGTGCGTTGTGATTGGCCGAACACCTCAAGCGTGAGACGGAAATGTTACGCCTAACTTTTATAAAGAATATCTCTTTGGATTTGAGACTTTAGTCTTTGCAACTTTACAGATCTTCTTTATCCACCAAGAGCTTGTAACACTCCAAAGAGAAAGGAAAAATTGAAATCGCATCATATGACCCCCTTTAAATGAATGCCACCTTCTTGGGACAATAAAGCCCTCCCTACACCTACCTGATACTTTTTCAAATTTTTGATGATTTCCTCCATTTTTGTTGAAAATAAACGCCTTTCCGATGCGATACATTTAGGGTGACCATGCGTCCTTTTTTTCCCAGACCTGTCCTGGCTGGGATTTCTAAATTGTCCAGGTTTTTTATTTGTTTTCTTATTGTTTTTATACTTGCTGAAGGTAATGACTGAAAAGTAGTTTGACCAATAGCGTGTGGGCATTGTACACAATTGACCAATTGTGGTGTGTGAAAAGGTGGGATCTACAGAGAGTGGTCAAAGCAATGCAAATACATATACATATAATGTATGAAGTCTGTAGAGAGCACGTCAACAGGAAAACAAAGCCAAAACCTGGACATTTTAGGCAATTTAGAAATCCTGGCCTGGACTTGTCCGGAAAAATGAGGGTGTATGTTCACTCTTATACATTACTATTCTCAACACAGCCTCTGTATGGAAGAAGTGAGTGGATAAGTACTGAAATGTGTTTCTAACGAGAAGCAGCATTGAGGTACCGTGCATGGAGCAGTAGTTGGCAATCTGGTCCACCACAAACATGAGCGTAAAGCCCAAGACGAGAGAGACTCCTATGAAGAAGTGAGGACGCAGACCTTTCTTTGCAGTAAGATGAAGTGTTGAATTTGATTCTGAGATATTTTGATTCTCTCCCATTGCGGAGCAATACCAGTCTACATGAGGAGGAGAAGAAACAGGTTTTGGCAAACATAATCAATCGTTGTCTGCTCAATATGAGGCTACCAGCAGTGAGTTTTAACTGGTAACTTACATTGGATAAAAGTAAACAAAGACAAGTGTGCAAAAGTGTGCATATTCATTCCCTGAATAGGGAAGTGAATGAATAAATAAGAGGAAGATGGCTAGTCTCACCTTTCCATGACTCCTGCACTAACTCCACCCCCTCTGGGATGATGATTGACAGGGCAGTGCCACATAGAAGCCCCGCCCCCAGCACGGTAACCAGCTGTAGTTTCTGCTGTAAGGGTGGAGAAAATGTCATAAAATAACTTGAAACTTGTCTTTCAATGTCAAAATACACAGTTACTGCCTTTACAGTCATGGAGTTTTATGTTTTACAGTATGACACGGTAAGTTGATACACAATTCTAACTCAATTGTGTTTGCTACTAAGAGATTTACACATACAAAGTAACGTAAACACACTATCACATGCAGAAACTATCACCAGTAACGAGTACAAAGCATAGTATAAACCTTACTAACATAGTTAAACTTCATTTGTAATGCATGCTACAATTTACATGCGGTGTACTGTATGTAAATATTGTTTTTACCTGCATTTGATACATTGTTTTATCGTCTGTAGCTTTACAGTAGCTTATAAAGTTAACGTACCAGCATTTGTTGCATACGAATATTGATCCTCTTACCTCTGATAAACTGATCAATAATGGAATTATCCCGAGCATGAAACATCCCACGAACATAGCCAGAGATATGAGAATAACAGCCCAAGCTCCGTCCATGACTGCTTCTGCTCTTCAGCCCTTCCGATCAAACCTCTTAACGCACGATCAGGCTGCATCACATGTAACAAACACCCTAACACACAAAAGGAAGACACAAAATCCTCTTTGAGCACTCACTGGAAGGCATAGTGGAGTTCTCCACGTCTCAACACCCTCCATAAACCTCCACAACTCTAAACTACACCCCTAGAGTCAGACGAACAGCATTACATGATACCAATGCTCAGGGGACAGTCCGATTCATTTGAGAGAATCGGTTTCTTTTATTCAACTCATCTACGAACCGAGTCAGTGTCCTCATAAAGACCCTGCGGATTTTACTTTTTATTTTTGTACAGTACACACAGTACATAGTACATAGTAGTCAGTGTCCTCATAAAGACCCTGCGGATTTTACTTTTTATTTTTGTAGTAAAATAGTTGTTTAGTATGTCATCAGTACTGTGTTATATGAATATGTAGGTGTAAATTGCCTCATAACATAAGTCTAACAAACTGTATCAGTATTATAGTAATTTATGTACTTAATTGAACTAGACTTTTGTGAATACGTTGTGAATACCAAAATAATATAACCACATTTGGGGAACGTTATTTGTCTACGTTAAGAAAAAAAATCACCTGCCAAACAAGTCACTTAAGTAAACTGTGAATAGTCATATATTATTTAATTTTTGTTAATGTTGTTAGACGCTTTTTAAATGGGCACGTGACCTAAATTTCTCAATCCTGTAAAAGCCGTTGTTGTCGAACGTTAGATCACGCGCACACCGTGTCTTGAGGTAAGACGGTGATGAAATACATATTCACTAATAATATTGTCATAAGGACATTTAAGTCTAAGTTATAAACGTAATGTGAACTTAGTGTGCAACGTTATGTGAATGTAAAATATAATACGACAGGAGCGCGGTTAATGCCTGTTATTAGATTCATACAGAAAATTCGAATTTTAAAGCGTTGAATTAATTACTATAAAAGAATATAGAAAGACATCTATGATCTCTTTCTCTAGGTAATATTGGTAAACATTTAAACATTTGTAAACTTTTTTGCCGACGCCAAATGCAGTCGAATGTTTTGACCGAACCATTGCAAAGAATCGGTTCAAAAGAAAGATTCATTAGTGAATCGGATATCAGAGAAAACGTGATAGCTTATAACTGTTTTTTCCCCTTCACGAGACATATCACAAGACTCCACCACAACAAGACCTTGAGAGGTCAAAGATTGTACTCACTATTTCTTGGCAAAGAAGAAAGCTGCCATAAAATGACATAACGACTCCTTATAGGAGGGAAAGAGTGTTTTAAAACCATATTACTGAAAAAAATCATGATCAAAATCATGAAAATTGGACATTTGCATATGGGCACATTATACATAAAAAAAATAAATAAAAAAAAACCCGATTTGAAAGTAGATATATTTTTTGAGATCAACACTTGGAATAGAAAGACATCTATGATCTCTTTCTCTAGGTAATATTATTGGTAAACATTTAAACATTTGTAAACTTTTTGCCGACGCCAAATGCAGTCGAATGTTTTGACCGAACCATTGCAAATAATCGGTTCAAAAGAAAGATTCATTAGTGAATCGGATATCAGAGAAAACGTGATAGCTTATAACTGTTTTTTCCCCCTTCACGAGACATATCACAAGACTCCACCACAACAAGACCTTGAGAGGTCAAAGATTGTACTCACTATTTCTTGGCAAAGAAGAAAGCTGCCATAAAATGACATAACGACTCCTTATAGGAGGGAAAGAGTGTTTTAAAACCATATTACTGAAAAAAATCATGATCAAAATCATGAAAATTGGACATTTGCATATGGGCACATTATACATAAAAAAAATAAATAAAAAAAAACCCGATTTGAAAGTAGATATATTTTTTGAGATCAACACTTGGATTTTTGACTACTTGGGAATACACAATGTGCCAAAATGAGTTTTTCTTAGCAAAGAATTCAATCAATGACAGAATTTTTGACTAGAACAGAATAAAACAGAACCCTCATGACTTCATTAAAGTGAAACACGATTAGTGCATTTCTTTGTAGCATTTATAAACAACATGGGTCCACAGTGTGATACTGAAGAATTTCTCCACACTTGATATGGTTTTGTCAGTCTATTTTATTGTTCAAAGACATGGAAGAGTTCGAGGATGACACTGTACAAAAGATCATTTGAGGGAAGGTTGAGATACAAAACTATTAAAAACAGCAATCGCAAGCAAAAGTACGATCTTAAGGGAAATCTGAATGGACAAAAGCAAACAATTCATGGTTGACTGTACATGGTTTTGCTGGCTAAACTGTACAAATGTAAATATAGTTTAGTGTTCCAAGAGCAGTGCAATGCTTCTATTTACAAAAATATTACACTGATTTAACCACTTCACTCCAGGCCAATGGCCGGTTAATTCAAAACAAGGAAAAGTAATAGACAAAAGAAATAAATATTGTGGACAGCATCTGTAACAAATGAGAAAAGCCTATAAAGATGCATAAATAAATTATTGCCGCATCATGCTTGAGGACAGTGTTTTTCCTTAAATAGATCCAGGATGCAGTCATATGGTCATCACCTACAGTATCTAAGCAGCAAGAGCATCAGACCGACAAAGCACTGCAGTTACTCAATGTTATCCAAATGAGATCACTGACAAAAATGGCTTGATATTGTTACATACACCATGATAATATAACATATTCCACATGAAGTGCATAGCCTACAGTGTTATTTGCATTTAACGGTTACAAAGCTCCTCAGTGATAGATTGGTAGATTAGTGTGATTTACATAAATTAACTAAAAATATCACTAATGTTCTAATTTCACAAGTTTACATACACCCGACAACTGTTTCAAGTTAACATTTGTTGCAGAAAATGACAGTTAAAAACACTGCATTGCTATTTCTGTAAACAATAAACGACACAATGAGAACTATTTAGGTCCACTAGCAGGAAAGGTCAACCAATTAGAGGCTGGACAAAGAAAAAAAAGCAAGTACTCAGGCACAGCCTTTGTCAGCTTATTTTGAGAGAAAAACTAAAAAATATTTTGTTTCCAGTTCTGACTTGCATTTTCAGCAATGCACAGAGAGCATAAATGCAATATGTATATAATGGACACAGTGGCAAAAATGTCTGAACATGGTGACAAACCAGATATAAAGAGTGTAGTTGTTAAAAAATAGTGGTCAATGTACTAGTTTTTGTGTGTTCTTTTTTTTTCAGACTTCAACCACTAAATGATGCATGAACCTAGTCAAATAAGCTCACAACTGCAAGAGTGTCAGCGAAAAGCTAGGTAAGAAGAACCATGGAACGGAGTCTGTTATTTCCAGTTCACTTGTAAAATTACAAAGGAACACACCACTATTGCAATAAAGAAGGTCTTATTTAGGACACATGTTGATATGACCCAATGAGATCTGGCTATCATCATAAACCAAATTTTTAGGATGTTCAGTGATTTCTGATGATGTTTCCCATGCACTTTTTACAGTGTTTATGAGTAAGTGATCAAAAATGGTATTGTGTACATCACTTGTTAGTGGCAATAAAAAGAAAAACAATTAAGTCAACAAAACCTGATGAAACTATTATTTCATACCCATGCATAACAAAAAAGAAAAATATATTCACATTCACAAATTCCACATTTAAGTCCACATAGGGAATTTGCTCTTCTTTTAGCTACAGTATCAGTTATTGACAGAACATTCCACAGTAGAGCAACACAATTTAAAATTGGTCCATCTGATGCCTGATTCAGAAAGTAGCGTCATACTACGCATAGCGCAAGTATGCTTTAGCAATGCGTAGGTTTACATTTAAACACTGGATGTGCAGAAGATGTAAGGGTGGACGTAAGAGAATAGTTCCAGGGATGGGGATTTGCTTTGAGTCTGTCAGACAGTCTAAAAGTGGCTTTTCCAGTTCAAGTATCTGATTAGACAATTAGTGTTCGGCGGCTGTTTTCCTCACAATCGGTTAATTTAGCAGGCTGGAGTGAGTTTTTCGATCCTGTGTTTTCCAACAAGAGGGACTAGTAATAGTCTTTATGTTAAATACAGTACACTCGCTTTGGTAAAGAAGAATAAAAGTTGCGTGAATTAATTTGCTCATCTCCAAAAGTATTGTGCTATAGTGCCATTTCAGCTGGGACGAAGAAAATAACATTTTGTTTCCAAACCAAAACTCAAAACTTTCAGAAACATTCTGATTAACTGTCTGTCATTATAACTGATGTTTATTCCACAAGCATTTCTAATATGTATGATTTCTCACAAAATTTGATAAACTATCTGTGATAGTATTTCTGTGTACTACAGATGGTTAACGTGGGGTGTTGCTAAAGCTCTAAAAAAAAAAAAAAGATTGTAAATGATCACATGGCTGTCTGAAATACTTGATTCTGATTGGTTAATTCATAGATATCTATTTTTGTTTGAACTCTCACCAAACTGTTTAGTTGACCAGTATCCTATGTAACTCATTTCCTAAGAAATCTTTCTATATTTTCTTTATGCAAAAGATTTGGAGGTGAAATCTGACCTTTATGCGTCTTTGTGATATCCACCCTAATATACAATTTTCCTGCCCACCTGAGATAGCACTATAGCGGTTTTTCTTCATCATAACATAGGTCAATTCAAATTTTTATTTACTAGACATGCGCTTGTAACGGCAAGAAACGTTGTGCGAACAGGGTAACCAATGTAAATAAGAATTATGAAACTCAGTTTCTAATAGTTGGAGTACAATCACAAGCCACTCCATATTCCTGACAATTGGCCATCCTGTCTCCAAGCCTCAATGATAAATGAGTGTTTTAGCTGTCAGCTGTGATGGATTCACAAGCTCAGTAAGTGTGGTGAGGTGCAGTGCATGTTGAAGTCCTGCTAGTTTCTCTAAGTTCAGCACCTGGCGTGGCCCTGCCTGGGTCACTGGTGCACCTCGTTCTCAATAAGGCTGTCCTCTCCTGATTGGAAATCACCCTCGTTCACCACCTCCTCATCCTGCGACGACCCCTGCCCCTCGTCACTTCCTGTCTCGTCTGTGTTTGGGTCCTGTAGCACTTGGGCAACGTACGTCTGCTGATATAGAAAAAAGAGGGAAGATGTAAAGTGGAAAAAGAAAATCAGATGTGACAATGTCCAATTTTTGTTGAAGCCAGATTAGTAACTACTAAATAAAAACTAGGGGTGTAAAAAAGCTTTCTTACTCATCATGATGTGCAAGACTCTGACATGATTACTAAAACTTACCACAGACTTGACAGGTGGAGATGAATCCGGTGGTCGTCCATTGTCCACACCGTCCATGTCGATCTGTAGAGAATTCAGGGAAAAAAAAAAATCACACTGAGGTTTAGAGAAAGTTCTAGACTTGGTTTTATTTACAAAGAAACAAACAATCAAACAGACAGAGCTGTTTCTGACCTTGTAATTGTGCGCACTGAGGTATTTGAAATGGCCGAAGACGACGTGGGAGAGGCAAATGATGATGGTGATGATCAGAACCACAAAGGTAAACATTGATGTTGGAGCAACAAAACCTTTAAATTTTAAAAGAGGAAATCAAGAGAAAGGAGAGCAGGGGAGAAAAATCATATTAGAGATATGACAATAATCTTTTACATCTAGAGCACTGGTTCTCAACCTTGGCCACAATACTGTCCAAGTGCAAGTGAGCCACCTTGCTGCCTACGGTTTGGAACTATCATTGCATCCAGAGTGTGCCTGAAATGCAGCGTAGGCAGGCAGATCGCTATAGGGTTTAGAACAGACCTACTATCTGGCGTTGTCTTACCTGTACGGACAGTAGAGAAGAAGAGCAGCCAGAAAAGGCAGAGGATGGGTGCTGCCACCACCTGGTTGACAGCTCCAGAGTGGATTTTCTTATCCAGTTTGGAGGGCAGGTAGGCATAATACATGTTATACCTGTCCACCAGGTGCTTCAGTAGCATGTACATCAGTCCTGCAGACAAAATTAAAATCAGCTTGTGTTAAGCGTGCCACCACAATGCAAGAATTCTTTATAGTTTTTCAGTGAGAAATGTCACTCACCAAATGGTACAATAATTGGACAGGTGATGCTGTAGGTCATGACCACAGTAAAGACATTCATCATCCAGGCGTAAGCAGCTCCAAACTGGAACTCATAAGCTTGATGCTGTAACAACATGGAACCATGCATGAATTACAACATGAGTATATGAGTTACTGAGCATAACAGTAAGGGTGAGTGTAATGACTGCTGTACTTGAAACTACACAGACCTTCTTCACATTGCGCCTCTCTGCAGCTGAACGTGCCAGACACAGCCGGATCATGTACATAAGGAAATAAGGAATGCGTAACAGTTCCATGGCATTACCAATGAAGGCAGACGCGATGACATAGTTCACAAAGAAAGCTCCATTATCTGGAAGGAAGACACACCTAATAGAGACGAAAAAGGAATCGGGCCATATTATCTACAATCTTGAAAATATGCATAAACCAAATGTTTTGTAAACACCTTGACCTCATAATTATTATTTAGCTCTCTCGACAGCCCCTGTAACACAGGATTTTAGAGCTGCAAATCCTCTCATGGACTTACTCGAATCGGACTTTTGCCTCGTCGAGGAATTTCTTGTCAAAGAGCCAGCGGAAGAAAACATCCAAACTGCATTTTGGAAAAGATTGTGTGAAATGTTTAATGCAAATGAGAAACAGGCAACACGGCAAACACAACCTGGATAGAAAGTTTAGATGTTTTACATTTCTATAGAATGGCATGAAAATACACAAAAAATTCAATTGTGTGATACAAATTACTGTTATTTCAAATTAAAATATACAAATCTTACTAATAATAACAACTTAATGGTTGGTATTTTTCAGCCTTTTGTTAAAAGGTTGTTTATTCAGGAAAATACTACTTAATAAACCATCCCTCTTAACCCCTTTTAAATTTAAAATGCACCATATAAATGGTCCAGATGCAAAACCTAAAATACCTGCTCAGTCCCAGAGATGGCAGCAGCAGAACCATAAAGATGAGGAAGGTGTAGCATTTGTGCATGGTGGTTCTGTTCTCTCCAGATCTAAAGGGAAAAGTCATGCATATTTTAAGCTTAGGACCACCAGGTTTGTGTGTCTACCACAAAATGGTTTAGTTTAAAAAAAATAAAAAAATACATCGATATACAGGGTTTGGCATTGTACCGTGTCCAGTGGGCCTCAAAGAAGGCGGAGTAGTAGACGATGGTGGGGAGAAGGGCCGAGAAGCACCACAACAGCAGGGTGGGGAAGAACTGAGTGATGATGGGGTTCTGGAGGAACAGACACAGGGGGAAGATGAGTGACAGAATCATGACCCAATAATCACACTGCATTGTGATGCTCATTAACACTCAGTTTAACAGACTTCTTACGTTCAGGTACTCCACGGGTTTGGTGACGTTGAACTTGTCCATGGTGGAGATGATGATGGCAGGGGTGGTGAGGAAAAAGAGCAAGATGAAGAGAAAGCAGTTGATGACAAAGCAGCGGAGCCACCAGTTGAGGCCACCAGTGGACAAATGCTCCCTGTGGAGAACAAGGTACAACTCGTGATTTATATAACTATAAGCATTTTCAACCTTACCCAGATACTAGTTCTAGGCATCAAATATCAGCGTTATTATCAGTCCGTGTTCTTTAATTTGCACACTTTCAGTAGATCACCAGTAGAACTTTCCACTACCATCTGTGCATTTATGTTCATTTAGTGACAAGCAGTAAAGTGGCTACTATGTCTAGATTTATTTCTCAACTAGTGTTGATTTTTGCAGTACCTAGCAACAATAGCTGTTCTACCCAGATCATCTTTTGCATGGAGCAAATGAAACAATATATATATATATATATATATATATATATTATATATATATGAGACTCATGGCTGTATTAGATCAAAAGGGTGCTTCTACTAAATACTGAGCAAAGGGTCTGAATACTTAGGACTATGTGATATTTCAGTTTTTCTTTTTTAATAAATCTGCAAAAATGTCAACAATTCTGTGTTTTTCTGTCAATATGGGGTGCTGTGTGTACATTAATGAGGACAAAAAATTAACTTAAATGATTTTAGCAAATGGCTGCAATATAACAAAGAGTGAAAAATTTAAGGGGGTCTGAATACTTTCCGTACCCACTGTACATATATCAATTATTGTCAAAATTTGGAAAAATAAGATATACATTTTTTGCTGTATCACCCAGGCCTACTGGATACATACAGTACACTCCCGTTAAGGATTGTGTACTATATAGCAAATCTCAAACACTTGATTCTTATATTTAGTACATCCTACTTTACTTGCAAACATACAGTATACTCACAAAGAGCAATCTATACTATATAGTAAATCTCACCTACATGATTGTTTATACTGTTGCAAAAATGTAAACTGTATTATCATATATATCTATACGTAAAGTTGGATATAATATACAACATATAGTTCACTAGCATAAAGCAATATATACTATCTATTAAAGGTGCTGTAAGTAGGATTGACACAGAGTGGTTGAACTAGGTATTGCAGTCCAAATTCAAAATATTGGAGAGGGTTTTTTCCACCCGGCCCCTCCTCCTCAGACTTGATGCACACGCAGGTTGCCAGATTGACGACACCACCAGGAACGAGCGCACTTGACGA